TTCTTTCTGACGATGGTGTGAGCGCGAATGAGCGCCGACTGTGAGGCTCAAGTCAATTCTAGGCTGGCCGAACGGGTTGCAGGGCAGGCTTGGCTGTCAGTCGGTATTGAATACAACACCGACAACAGAGATATACTTTTGAGAGACTGAGTGTTGGTAAGGTGGAGCAAGTGTGAGGAGAGATAGCTTCACTTTCGTGAGAAGGTAGCGATCTAGAGTCTTCAAGAATGAAAGTTTATTTGAAGTGTATCTTCACTTTTGCTTGCTTTTGAAGAAGGAAGAGAATAGCAAGATAATTACTGTGAAAGGGCACGGTGAGGAGATACCGCCTTCTGAATATGTCTTCTGTTAATACGGGTCGCGGCCTAGAAATGCCACGTCCACACCCAAGTCTGTCCCGTGGCAAGCATGGGATAAAATGACATCCCTGATTCGAGATGCGAAATCCACCTTCGACTGAAATCGAATCTTGCCATGCGGCTCGAATGACACCACTTTGAGTTCCTTACAGTGGCTTTCCGGGGCGCTGTTTCGCAGATGCTCTCTAGCTCACCGCCGATTTGAACCCACGAGTGAGATTCAACCGGCATGGTAGGACCAAGGATGAAATCTCAAGATGGCGCCAGTGAGCGAGGAAGGGGGCTGCGGAAAGGGGGCAGCGAACCTCCTTTCCTCCGCCATTGGAATCTGCCATTTGAAAGACTGTCGGGCCAAGAAAGCGTCTGGGGCGAACATGGTGTAGAACTGGGCCACACTATGCCACATCTTGAAGAGGACAGGCAAGGAAGTGTGGCTTGATGTGACAAGTATAATTCGTTGACAACGAGGCAACTGGCTGCCTTGCATTGCCCAGGGATCCGTCTGACGCTCACCGAAACTCTGTCTCCTCTGTCGGGCGACCTCACAAGTCCTGGGTGCGGGGCTGGGCCCCGACTAACAGCCTCCCGGCATTGTGGTGTGGCACACTGCTCGGATGATTCGGGTAAATACTATAGGATTGAAATCGCTGAGAGGGAGTGGTGTCGGTGCACGCATTGCTCTGCTCACGCACAAGCTGAGGGCAGCGGTATGTCGATGACGGGGAAGATCACGAGCGGGGTTCAACCCCTCGTAGCTGGCCACCACTCCCGGATGTCGATTGGCAGAATTGCTGCAGCACTTTGACTCGCATCTTCGTGGACAGGCTGCAGTCCAGAACGCTGGGGTGGTAAGAACGGCAGATAGAAGACTATGGCCCGTGACTCGCTCATGGCGTTCATTGAACGCCGCAGTTTTGTATCGATTTCCTCGAATCACAGATGTTGCAGGTCACATCGACTCGCCAGAATCTTCAGCTGAGTTTGTCCATGCACCCACTGTACCCGATGGCCAGGCTACCCGCCCACCATAATGATAAGTACCAAGGTAGGTACGCAGGTAGGGACTCGGTCGACCTCCCAGCAAGGACTCTCGAAGTTATGACTTGTTTGCCCACTGACCTGCTCATCACCAGCTAAGCATATTATGAAAGATCAGCAATTGCTACAGGGCCATATCGACGTACTGGCCTGCGAGTTACTATCGAATGGGAGAAGCAACCCTACAAACTGACCTCAGTGGGGAACATGACTGGCCACGCGCGAAAAGGGCGAGCCTGTCAGAAGAATAGCGTCGCTCATTTTATCGTGGATCCGAGGCGGGCGTGTGACCAAACAATTGCTCTCTAGACGGGCGTTGTGTACCACAGCCTGCAAGGATCAGACATGACGATTGGCACCACTGTTAGGCATGAGTGTGAGCCAAGCATGGCCGAAACTAGGTGTCGCATGGCTTCCATAACCTCGTACGGGTGTGTCCTGTACAAGGGTGACAAGGCTGGGTATACATACTCAGCGGCGCCACCTTCCAGACCACTGCTGCAGCGCCTATACCCAAGGCAATATGCCCTCTCTTCGTGTATAGGGAGGGTTGTCTGTGACCGTTCGGCGCAGGGCAGCTTCCCGTTCCGTCAATCTAAACAGACACCAAGACAGAGAGCAAAGGGTTTGACTTTGTTGGTAGCCACATAGGCGATTGACGGGGTTCAAAAAGCGCTGCCTAGCCGGCGGGTGAAGCGGCAATGGCCTTTGTAAATACCTTGCGCAGTAGTGAGCGCACCGTGTCTGTAGTTGTGCGGATGCCACAGCTCGCGAGTCCATCACTGCTGGGCACCAAGCCGAGAAGATCTTTTGATCTACAGCCTACGCTCTAGGGTTACCTGAGCTGCATTCCCCTACCCTACAGCCCACTATCGTCTCTGATTCACGGGCTCGCGCTTGAACATCTCAACGTGAACCGTTGACTGTAAGGCCATTGCCGCTGTAGCCAGGCGTCGTGGGAAGTGGTATGAAACGCCACAAACAGGCGACTCCGTGTCGAAGCAAGCAGAACGAATGAAAACACCGGTAGATGAAGATTTGGTTGATTCGCGCGCCTTGGCGAATGGTATCTCAAATGATGAATCTACCAGAGCAGCCGCTCCTAGAAGTGCCGTCGCTTAGGCTGCCAACTCGGGCACCTCTCGGGTCGTGTCAACCTCCCTGTACCGAGAGCGGTTCCACCGGCTGTAGATATTGCTTGAATGCGTATGGCAAAACGTCGGTCGCCCGGTCCCCGTTTTGTGCTGGATCATCGTTACGCGACCAGAGACAGCCGGCAAAAGCAGCTGACGGCTTACAACGCAACAACCAGGATAAAATCACTGCTCAGGTGCCTGAGGAAACCCTCACAACTCGGCTTTCGGATGACGAGGCAGGTGTGGCACCCATAGAAGGTCAGCCTTTGCAACCGGACTAGCCGCGACCCATGCAGCCTGCAGGTAGAGTCGGTCCAGCTCGTCACCGACCGTCTCGTTGTTCGCCTTGAGTTTCAGCCAATGTTGATTTCGTATGCGATCATCATGAATCCACGTATTCGAACCGTTGGCATGCACATGGTTATAGCCATTGTCGTTGCCGTACTCAAATATGTCACCCAAGCCTCGAATGGCATAGAGTACAGAAATAGGATCCCATGACTGATGTGGTTGACCGTGAGTGTAGTAAATGTAGGCGGCTCTCACCGGATCGCCTACAGGGCCGTTAGCCATGAGACGCAATCCCGACGTGACGTTTTGGCCAAGCTCAAAGCCAGAAAAGACCATGCGGCCCGTAAAGTCGTTGACGACATGCGCCGTAGCCAATGGATCGTCGCCCCAGAAGTTGAATTCGCGCCCGCTCGGATATACCCCTCCCATGATGACCAATTCCGACACCTTGGCGGAAAGCAACTCCGGCCCTGTGAGTTCAGAGTACCCGTCGGCAGGCGAGTCAAGCAGAGCAGCGAGGTTGGCGAAAAATCCGAGAGACACAACGGTCACGCTGCCGTCCTCTGAAGCCGCAAGTGTCTTACGGTAAAGGTCAACAGGGTCCCAAGCGCGGTGAGCCTGGCCCCAAGGAAGAGAGCCACCAGACCAATGGTAAGCAATCTTGCTGGTAAACTCGCCGAATTCAAACCCCCAAGAGTCGAAAAACGTGTCGTTTGTCTGAGGTCGTCGGGCCCCTATGGGGATGTTTGCTTGACCATAGTGCGCTAAAATTGCAGAAGTGGCAATGGTAGAGTACAATGAAGGCGAATTGACATTGACAGCCAATAGTCTTATGTCTGGCGAGGTCGCTGCCAGGAGTAATGCAGCAGCGTCACTAGGTATGTCAGCCGTTCGTCTCCTTGACGCCCAAGAACGAATCCACCTACTCGCAGTCACTGAATAGGTCCGTGTCAAGGATGAGATTTTTTCGAGCCGCTCCCAGAGAATTCAAGAATATCAGGCTGGCGGCCGGAATGGCCAAGAATGATGAGTACATTTGCAGCGTGAGTTGCCAGATTTTCGAGCCGCCCGACAGCATCGAGATCAGCTGGTGTTCTGGGATGTTTAGGGTGGAGCGGTGATCATGATGAGTCAAGTCCGCTGGTGACGCTGTTGGCCAGAATATAGCATTTCAACCCCAGAGGTAGGTGGAGTTGAGGCTAAAGACAAATCATCAAGGTAAAGTACTCAGACGCGACAAGTGCCAAGTCGCGAAATCGTGAAGTGCATCACGCGCGTCTGTAGTGGGGCTTTGTCATCAGGGATTAGTGTTGTCCGTCTGCAGCCTTGTGCTGGTGTCCATTGCGGGGAAGGCTATATGAACCTTCGTCTGTGACTCGATTGGTGACGTAATCATGTTCGCGACCACAAGCTGATATTGCTTCGGTCGAATACATTTGCCCTCTCTACCTAGGTAGGTACTGAACCTGTTGATGCGAGGTCATGCGTCCTCGATGGCATCACACGCTGACACATTATACTCATGCGCATAGTTCTGGCAACCATCGATGATCCACATCTGCAGCGACGGGTGATTGTTGCCATCTTCCTTCATGGTCAATCCCCTGGTGGTATCTCTCTACCTCGAGCATCATTTCGATCTTGTGATCATCACTTGTTCAGCCTGCCCGCCTCTCGGGTTCTCTCCAGTACAAGCAAGCTTCCCTGCGGATGTCGTCGTCCTCAACCTGTGTACCACCCTCGACCGGCTGCACCACCAGCTGCTTCGCTGGTGCAACCTCCAGGCCATAGCCGTTGGGCTTGTACGTCGGCCACTCAGGGCTATCTTCAGTCCGGTGCACGTTCGGATCGCCCGCCGTGACAAAGCTCGATAGATATGCGTTATAGACGTGACTTATCTCAGGATATTGTGTTGTCGATTCATCCCATGTGTAGCGTGTGTCGGCCGTGTGTGGGATGCCCTGCCATGCCGGGAACGTGTTGTTCGTGTTGAAGCGCACCTTCCAGACGGACACCCCTGCGGACGCGGCTCTGTAGGCGGTCTCTTGACCCGGACAGATGTAAGCGTAGTCGCTCCAGGCGGCCGCCAGGCGGTCGTACTGTGTACTATTCGGAGAGTTGGCGAAGGGAGAGTCCTCGATAGTAGCGGGGTCAGGGTAAAGGACCTCGAGGAGGTTAAGGTCGTTATCATTCAGGGCTGGCGAGATGTTGTGTAGGTACCCAATGAACTCGTCGTTCGTCTCGAGGTCCCCAGGTACGTAGAATTTGCCCTCGTTGGTCGTGGTGGACGTGATAGTCGGCACGTGGAAGAAGGTGCCGTCGTATCCTGACTGAGAGCCTGGTTTCTCGAATAACGGACCGCCTTGTACAGGCTGCCAGGGCCAAGTCACGGCATCGTTGAACTTGTAGAAGATGCTGGTGCTGATGTTACGAATATCGTCGATTTCCGCCGCTCGGAGACACGCCAAGGCTGAAGCATCATCCTCAGCGGCGTCGCAACCAAGCACAGACGTGTACTCCTCATACTGTTGCTGGTAGAGAGGGTAGGTCACGTTGGGGAAGGCCCTTGAAGTCACGGAGCCGGACTGATGGATGGCACGAGCGAACAGCGGCTTGCTGCCTTCGTCATCGGCATAGTTATGGAAGTAGTGGATACCCACCGAATGGGCACCAGCAGAGCGTCCACCGACGGTCACGGCTTCTGCGTCACCGCCAAAGGCCCCTATGTGCTTCTGTACAAACTCCAGTAGTAGGCGCTGGTCTCTGATGCCGAGGTTCGAGAGACCCTCGTCATCGAAGAGTCGCGAGGGGAGAAATCCGAGGGAGTTGACGCGATAGTGAAACGACACTACAACAATGGGTTCTTTGGATGAGGCCGCAAATGCAGCACCGTCAAAACTCTTATAACTGCCAGAAAAGAACGCTCCCCCGTGGATCCAAACGAGTACAGGCAGTTTTTGGTCGAGGGGTACACCGGGAGTTCGGTAAACATTGAAATTGAGGCACGCTTCGTCCTGAGTCTCAATGGGTACGGAGGCGGTCGCTTCTTGAACACAGGCCTTGCCGTATCTCGTCGCGAGCTTGACTCCTTCGAAAGGCTCGGGCCAGGTTGCGGGACTGAAACGCGCTGCCCCGACAGGCTGCGTAGCGTAATCGATGCCCAGCCATGCGTCCATGGTGACCGGAAGCTTTTGAGCGCTATAACTCGAATTGATAGATGTTCCGGCAAAGGTGCCGTAGCCCTCGAGGGTAACAGGATTATGCAAACAGCTGTGTGCAACGGCTTGGGTTTGTGCCAATTCAAAGGCTGTAAGCAATGCGATCATGATGGTATTCGATCTCATCATGGCGGGCGTCTCGGAGTATCAGACACTTGATTGAGATGAATGGGATTTTACAAGCGAAGGAGGTTGTCTTGACCCTACGCAAGGAAGGTCGGATACCCGCTTCAAATACCTGCTTCCTCGTTTTGCGGCATCGAGACGGCCTGGCGGTAGAGATGTGACCATGACTCGATCCTGAAGTCCTCCCCGCATGCCGTCGTGTCAATCAATCACGACAGCCATGCCCAGCCTTCAGGGCAGTCGACCTTGGTCGCGCCATAGGGCCTCCGACAACGGCACCAAACCCGGCGGTCGGGGCGGAGCCGACAGTTAGTAGTGGATGTTGATCTTGCCATGATAGGAAGCTGATCCAGGACGGCATCAATCATGCTCTCAAGCCAACCTTCGACTACGGGGCCGAAGCGGCTGAAAGGGGACATGACAACAGGAAACAAGAGAAATGCGGGAGTATATTGTAGCATATGAGATGAACTTACCCCTTGACAACTTGACAAGGCAGTCAAGATATCGGTTTGGCGCCATCCGGGGTTACCGGTGCATGCGATGCAGGAGAGGATGCTGCGGAGAGGTAGTATAGAGGAGAGCTTCAAGATCAAAGCAGTCACCGCCCAGGGGTCGGTGTAATGCGCCCCGCACTCCCCTCCCCGCCACAACCCTTCGCCAGCATGAGATAGCGCGTGGGCCCTACATCTGGCGGCCGACGTCCCACACACCCCTCAAGCCCAGATGGCCAAGACGGCCATGGCGGCGACTCCCAAGCCCACACACCCGAACGCAAACAACTTCACGCTCAACGGCTCCCGGCTCATGCCCGAGTGCAACAGAAACTCTCGCCCCAACAGCTCCACCATCCCTGTGTACAATAGGATCCCCCCACTGATGGCGCCGAAGACACCCGTCATGATGAGTTGGATCTCGGGGCTCTCTGGCTTGGCCATGAGCCCGACAGCCACCGCTAGCGGCGACGATATGCCGAAAATGACGGCGAGTACATACGGCCACCAACGTCCATGCGGTGGCCATTGCGCAACCGCGAGTCGAGACCCTAAATCGAGGCCTTGGAAGAATTGATGGCAAGCGAAGATAACCGTCAGTGTAATGAGATTGTTCGTGGTCGAGAGGATGAGGCTGATGAAAACGCTATGGAACGTGAATTCGAACTCGAGAACAAGTAGGGCTGTGAGCTGTCCTCGCATATTGAAGTTTGTGTCGTGACTACTGCCTTGGCTACGCGACGTGTCCAGGTCGCTTGTCGGATGAAATCTCCTGTGGTTTGGATCCATTTGGAATATCTGCGAGAGGCGAACGTCGCTCAACCCTGATCTTCTGTTGGTATGGCTGACTATGATGTCTTGCTGTTCACTGACGCTTTCCGTGTCGCTACTGGATATGCTTTTCGAGAGGACATTCCGCCCCGAACTGCAAGGAAGAGAGCCCGAGTCGAAGCTTGATGCAATCGTTTCGATGAAGACCAGAAATACGACCGTCATGAGACCGATGAACATAGGCCAGTCATATTCACCAAGACGGGGGGCCAGACATTCGTTTCTTAACGCTTGAATGGCGGGAGAGAGAAGATGTAGCCATGCCGTAGCGATGATGACCCCGGTACCCGTAAAGCTGAAGACGAAAAAAATCCATGTGAGGACAATCGTGCGTGGTCGACGTGCGAGGAGCAAAGGTATCAGCGCGCCGAGGAGAGACCCTACGAGCAGGATAATCATGGCGATGTAGCGTATGACTTCATGGTGTATATCGACATGGGCCTCGCCGCAAGTTTGGCTTTCGTTTGATAATAGTGCTGCTGCTGTTTCGTTCACATAACCATGCGAAAGGTCATCTTGGTGGAAGTCCATTTCGACAAGTCAAGTCTTTGGTGAAGTTCCCTGGTCTGGCAAGCGGTGGTTCACCAATCGCCTCACTGTGAGCGACGGCTTCACTGAACAATGTCGACATGCAGCTGGTCTGGTGGGTGTGAAGTCGGAAGTCTACGGCCAACATGGA